TTCTTGGGTATGCCCAATTGTACTTAGATAGAATAAAAGGCTTTAACCCCAAATCCTTTGTAACTGAAAGATGAGTGGCTTTATAATATTTAATGTTTACCAAATATTATAAGAGGGACAAGTTGTTTTTCATCAGTACATGCATTACTGATAGTACATTATATGACTGGATCTTTCAAATGTAGATTAAACTTTGTACTAAATTATTCGTTCCCGAATTTATTTGTCTCGATAAAAAAATATTTCTTTGATTAGATTGTGGAATATCAATCGTTATGCGGGGAATAAACACTTATGAAAGTAAATATAGGTCTTACCATGGTGTTGGAGTAATATTGATAGAAGGCTTATTTTTAAGATATTTATAATGAACTATGTAGAAAATTAGCATTAGCTGTTAGAGGGTACTTTAGTATTTGCTGAATATTCTGGTTTGGACAGGTGGCATTGCTAGCTGCTCCACTACCTCAATATTCCTTCTGTTTTCATTCTGTTTTAATGTTTGTTATGCATGCATGGAGCCTATAAAATGGCACTCCATCCTTTCTGTAATGCAAGGAGAAAATAGTAGAGAAACAATTCTCTTCTTTCTCTCGATTTTGGTTGTGTGCATTTGGGTGTTTTAATAATTCTATTTTTGCTCATACTTTTGGTGATCAACTAAGTATTTGCCTGAGATCTATTAAGCATATCTAAAGTCCAGGACCCTTTTTGAAGCGGGTCACAACCATATATTCTCATGGTTTTTATCGTATTGAGTTGGTTTCAATTTGATTAATTTCTATGTTTCTAATCTATCTATATCTCAGCCACGAATTCTAATGGCAATGGCTCGAGATGGATTGCTGCCCTCATTTTTTTCAGATGTTAACAAACGCACCCAAGTGCCTGTCAAGGGCACAGTGGTGACTGGTATTCTTGCAGCAATCTTGTCATTCTTTATGGATGTCTCACAGCTGGCAGGGATGGTAAGTTGATCCTAATAATGTTCTTTGGTAACAAATATCATCTGCAATTGTTAGGTTGGATTTAAAATAAAATATAAGTACTATTTTACTGCACCCTTGTCAGAGAATAAATAATAGAATGAAGTCTTTTCCTATCAGCTTGAAGTTTTAGAAAATTGATTGCTCAACTTTATAAATTCATGCAAGTGCAGACCTACCATCCACTTCCTGTCAATTAAGTTTTAGCATAAGTTTCTGTGTGGTGGGATGTGTCATAGCATAAGTAGTAGATCACATCATTTTTGTCAATTTAAGCATTTAGATATATTGATAAATTCTATTATTTCGCAACCTTAGTGTTGGGACCCAGTAGTTGATAAATAAAACCAGATCTGGCCATTTAAGAGATTATTCTTACTATCTAATGGGGTTTCATGTTCAAATATATTGTCAGTTCATGAATTAGAATATGATCCAGAATCCCTTGATTTCTGTTGTATCTATTTATCTATTTAAAAGTGTTATTTTTTAGAAATAATTACCTATACACCAGTCTTGAATTAATGGTCTAGAACATCTATTTCTGAGCTATTTTCTGGTTTCTAGACATGAACAACAACAGTCTGGAAGCTGAAATATTTTCAAGCATGTATATTCGTATACACTTGAACATTTCCAAATATGCGATCCTAGGTTTTTAATGAGTTTTTATCTGGCTGCAGGTCAGTGTGGGTACACTTCTTGCATTTACGATGGTAGCAATTTCTGTATTGATACTCAGATATGTCCCGCCAGATGAGGTGCCTCTTCCATCATCACTTCAGGAGTCTATTGATTCTGTTTCATTGAGATATAGTCAGAATACCGAGGTCCATGGTGACGCTTCTAAGGACGGCATTAAACCTTTACTTCCCGAGAAGGATGCAGCACTTGATTGTCCTATCCTTCTAAAGCAAGAAGCTGGAAGTAGTTGTAAGTT